CAGGTTCACCCACTTGAATTTCAACCTTATTTTTTACAAACGAGCATTTTCTTAAACTCGCCAATCCCGAGTCTACCATCGCAAATTTAGGCCAAGTCAACAGAGATCCTTTATAAATCCATTTTATTGCTTCTAACACTTGTTCAGCTGTTTTACTCATTAAAAGTTCTGCTTCTTTATATCTCGAAGCCACGTCGACCACAATTAATGCGTACTTGTACATTTTTCTTTTAACTCGGTCCCAAGGTAAATACAACACATCCATCTGATGTGAGTAGTTGGGTTCTACCAATTCTTTTTTTAAAGTAGTTGGCCTGGGTATATATCCAATATCCAGGAGCTGGTAAATAAATTTGCCAAATAGCTTGTTTCTTTAACCAACTTCTTACCGTGCTTTTATCTGTGCCCATCTTTTTATGCAACTACTCTATGGCACTTTCGCCTTTCCAATAGCCTTGCAGACTATAAAACAATTTTGAAAATTCTTTCTCCATTTTAAATAAAGTTAAACATACCGATACACCAAAAAACCAACTAACGCAGTTCCTCCTAGAATCCACACAAGCTCTCTGACTTTCTGATCTTCCGAAAGCACATACAAATCTGACAACTTGGACTTGGCGGCAAAGGCAACACGTGTTTACCAGTCAATTCTGAATAAGCATGCAATGCTTCGTCTACGTCAGTAAACTCGCATTGACTCGCACGTTCTTGCCTTATGCGTTCATTTAAAAAGTCCAACAGATGAACACGATTTTGTTCTGAGGTCTGTTTGGCTTGCGCCAGTTGTTCCAACGCAAGGTCATGTCGCTTTCGTTCTTCATCTACTCGTTTTTGAGACAAACTGCTAAATAGAAAATTGGACCCAGTAAATGCCACCGCATTGACTATAGCTCCTCCTACAATCATTAAAGCAGTCGCCATTTTATTTTATAAACGTTTTAGTTTAAATGGAGCAAGAACTTTTAGAGATCAAAGACCAGTTAGGGGTAGCATCCAAATTCAGTTACTCGGCGCGCCAAGGTGCAAGGCGGCGACTTTGTGGCGGATTATTATTCCCTTGGACGATCTAGGTGAGCGCGGCGTGGTGCGGCGGTCTAGCTCAGGCCATAGCTTATTAAGGATAAGCTATTGTGTTGGTGGCATTATGTTAATAAAGTGAACAGCACATACGCAGCGAGCTTTGAAGATTAGTTGTCGGTGTGACTCAACCGCCTAAAAAGATTACCTCATTTACTGTCACTCAACAATAAATGCCACTGACCTGACATTGGGTTTTTGGGGGAACAGGGAAAGTTCAGTGGCTGTGCTTTGCAATGTGCTCCATCTTTCTTGTCAGCGTTGTCCCCCCTTTTAAAAATACAATGTATGTTTACCTTGTGTTCCTGACATCAACCTGGCATTCGGAAAAGTTTTACGTACCTGTATTACAGTGCTGCCCATTTTCTGTTGCTGCTGGGGAATCTCAGGCTTTAGTCTGGCTCGCAGTCCCTATTCTGTGCAATGTATGTGTTCGTATCGGGGCGGGATCTAAACATGTCAGTTGCATACATGTAGCGAGCTATACGTGATTTCTCCACTCCAATGCACCCTGACATCAACTAGGACTTTTGTGTGATTTTCCAACATACTCCACTGCTATTTTTTGCGCTTCTAAAGTGTCTTTATTTCGCTGAATATAAATTTGTTTTTAAAACACATAAAATAGATGCATTAAAATTAAATCATGAATTGCATTTCCATGGATAACGAGTCAGTTTGCTTTTCTTCCGGGCAATTCGACCCAATACCTGTACCCACTGGGAGGTTATTCTGTGCATTCGACAACCTCCTTATTGCTTAGAACACACAGGGCCAATTTGAGAGAGTCAAAAATAGTTGACTCCAGTTTAGACGAGCAAAATTTGCAAGTCCCGACTGAATTGTGCTCATTCCTGTGAGGGAAAATGTGTAATACGAGCTCGGATGTTAAGAGATTTATGTGCTTGATCATCGGATTCAAGTTTGCATGGCAACGTAAGAACCGGACAAACAACTGTCTGTGAGATACTTTATACGCAGGGCTGTGCGTCGTTAGCCCTGCGTATATGCATGTTTTCCACTTCCCACCAAAATTGGCCTATCAACGCTTAGGCAATCCCGGTCATGTGCACATTAACCTATGAGTGCTTTATAAGCCGATATCCTAGGCTGAAGACACAGGCTCCACGTAGATATCGCGTGTTCCAGCAAGTTCCCAGGCTCCTCTCTTACATGTATCTTGGCAGTGTGCCCAGGTCCATTTTTACATCAATGACTGTTCACTGAGCCTACTAGATTCCAGTATTAAAAGCATCAAACACGGAACCAGAACTAACATGGTTGCTTTATTTCTTGTACAGGGGCATTTTGTGTTTTATTTTCACCATAGTTTTGAGGCATGCATCTTACTGTTTGTCACCAATGGGCAAGGTTTCATTAAGAAAATTATTTTATTGATCTGATCTAAAAAACATTAGCATGCTGCGTTGATTGTATGTTTAGACAGCATGTGTATGAAGTGTGCTCAGCCATGACATCATTGTTATTCATGTTCCCCACCAGCGCTGCATGAGGCTGCAGTGCGGCGCCGTGCAGCGCCGTGCAGTGCATTGAAGCGGATCGCGGCGCGCCGATAAAAGTATCTTGGAGAAATGTGAGCTGACGAAAGCAACATCAAAGGCATGCTTGGTGATATGCGAGCCGACATAGACCACAATGGTGACATGCTTTTAGAGATCAAAGACCAGTTAGCAGAAATACGAGCTGATGAAACTAACATCTAGGGTATGCTGGGTGACATGCGAGCCGATGTAGATCACACTGGCAACATGCTAGCAGAAATGACAGTCGAAACGTTCCACAAGAGAGATCAATTTACAAAATGCAAAGACATGTTTTTTGTGGCCGGTGTATCGTTGATTGTGTTATCATTTATATTCAGGATTTTGAAATAACTGTTAAATTATAAACTCTTAAATTATAAAACAGTTTATAATAAAAAGATATGGCTAGCCAATATACAAAGAAATAAACCCAAGCTGCCAACTCAAAGTGCCTTGAGCTATCAAAGGCAAAAGATGCGAAGTCACCATTATGCACAATCCGAGGACCACAGCAGCCGGTCACACACTAAACGTCAAGTTTCCGGCATTCGGAATAGACGATGTTGCTGTGCATGGTTTGCGAAGTTGGCTTTCAAGTTGGATCTAGATGGAGCATCAGGTGACAATAGAACTGTGTATAACAATGTCCAAGTAATCTAATTACAGAACTCAAAGTCAGTTTGCAAAATCGTGAGTTATCGCGATGCAGATGTCTTTCACTTTTTAAAGACAACTGGTTGCCCACGACAGACTAAAAATATAGCTTACTTGTGGTTTAGAAAGGGAGAGTGTGGCCAAATTGAGATTAGGCGCAGCGGATGCCAGCAATGTCTCCAATGACGGTAAAGACAAGGCGATTGCAGACGCTTTTAAAAACCAGTACACAATTCCCATAGATGTGCCTCTATTGACGGACCACAGGCCTTTTTATCCATCAGGCTTGACAGAACCATTGACTTACCAGTTGACATTCAACAATCATGATAAAGTGGTCAAGTCAACCGACATGTCTGCGGAATATGCCATTTCAGATCTAACATTGGAGTACAAAGTCGTGACCAATCGCGATTTGGCTCAATCGTTGTGCTCCAAACACAAAGGCAATGTGTACTACCTGTTTGACAGGATCCATTCGTGGAAAAAGCAAGCGGTAAACAAGTCGTTGTGGAATATGAACACTGACCAAACGATTAAACACTTGAAAGGTGTTTTAATTTTGTTCAAAGATCCTACAGTTGAAAATCCGCAACGATTCTACAATCCGCATATCACGAAAAGCAAGGCCTGTTTGAATACCAACATTGGAATGAAATTTGCGAGTTCTTCGGCAATTCTGACACTGAATCTTGGCGAGTAGTGGTGAAAGATCTAAATTTGACCGGTGTTGACATGGCTGGTTATTTGAAAGATAAATATGGCCTGTGGCTGGACTTTAGGAGTTCTGATGATAATTTGGCCCACGGGTCTGGCAGGCCATTGGGAGGAGGAGATATTTTTTGATTCAGATGGAATGGGAAGCTGAAACTGCCGGACGGCTTTACATGTATGTGTTCTTGGTAATGGATGCACAGTTGACAATAGAAAATTTAAAAGTCTAGTTTATTAAATCTCGTTTAAGATAAATGAGCATGTATAACAATCCGTATTGTGCTCTTATAGTTGAAAAATGGGATCTTTCTAGATTTACTAGAAAGTGAATATCGGTTTGTATATGAAGCTATCGTAATCATATGTCCGACCGTTGCGAGTTTGCCTATTTATGGGGGGAGGTCTCTCCAGGATGCTCGGCCCAATGGAGAAAATATATAGCTTGGGCAAATCTTCCCAACATGGGGCACCGTATAGCAGGCCCCCCAATGCAAAGTGGTGGGCCTATGCAAAAAGAGAGAAAACACAGGCATTGAGGCGGCAACGTCCACTGAAATTTAAACCGGAGAAACCCTGGTCCAAGAAAGCAGAAAGTCTGGCCAATGGTCGACTCCGCCGTGCAGGGGCAATGCTCCATGCCGTGGATCGCTTCTCCGGGCTACCCAGGGCCCTCGGGTGTGAAGTAGGTTGGAGGCCTTTGAGCCCGTTTATAATGCTTTTCAATGAGAGCATTACAATACTAAGTTACTGCGCAATTTATTTGGTGCACTATTTGTGACCTTGGGACCTTTCGAGATTACTGCTCAACACACTAACAGCGGATGAAAAAAGGTAGGTTTAAGTTCAAACCCACCAATGTTCACACTCATTGCTTTTCCCAGGGAAAACATTAAACCCCAGGATTTTTTCCCCACCCCACGCAAGGGTAAATATTTGCAGGGGAAAAACTTTTCCCCTTGAATTTCTTTGGTAGTGTGAACGGATCATTGTATAATAAAACCAACATACCTCTTTGATAATTTGGTCCAAGTTGTACATCCTCACTCTGTTGTTTCTATGCATCACAATGAGCAACCCATCACTGATGTTTGCATTGCAAATGTCTGCACCAAATACCTGAAGCAATTAAGAAATGGACTTATGAACATAAATGAAGCCATCTTTTTGATACCACACCAGACAGAATATCATCATATCTGTGCTGTGGACTGATGATCACACTGTAAATATACTATGCTCAAGAATTGATATGCTAATAGAAGTTCAAATCATGGGTCACTTTCCACATGGTATGATCTTGAGCATATGCCGCGCAGCATTCATTACACATCTCCTGTCACTGGATTTTAGAGAGTTTGTTCAAAAGGTCACCGTTGTTTGACCATACACGGTCACTGCGGTTGTGCTCTGTTGCTAAAAATTCACACAAGCTAAGATAAATTAATGAAGCAACTCATGGATGCATGCTACTGTTATGTTGAAGCTTTGAATTATGCAAGACTGAACGTGGTCAACCTAGGCATTCCATGCGAAGTGCACAAACGCAGTGTGCAGATTTCAACAAAAGTATT